GGGGGCTGAAACCAGTGGATAAAACAAGTAATTTCAGCTGCTGCTAAGGGTAAGGAAGAAAATAAAGGGTCTATGATGGAGAACGGTGGTGGGGAAGCCAGGAGAGCCCCTTCAAAGGCCGTCCTATTTGAGCTGAGACGAGGTTAAGTGGAAGGAGACAGCCATGCCGAGGCCCAGGTTACAGAAACAGCTCCCACTGCCCTGCTTCCAGGCAAGCGCCCTGCACTCTGTCACAAGGCCAGTGCCCAGAACACAGGCAACCGCCTCGGGCCTCACACCGGCCCCCCTCGACCTGACCAGCCCTTGCTCCTCTGGCCTGCTCTCTGGTGCCCGCTCTGTGATGTGCGCCCTGCACCCCCAGAGCTCTTCACCCCACTCGTCCCTGCTGGACGGAGCGTCCCTGTGCCCCTGCGGGAGTGTCCATCTTGAACTCTAACCCTGCCTCATCCTTCCAGCTTTAGTTCAGTCTCGTCTGGCCCTCTAGTCGGGAGAAGACATTCCCTCCTCTGCTCCCAGTGTCCACTGACTGTTCCCATGGTAACAGCACCTGGCCTTCTTGGAAAATCACCCCTTCACTCTAAATCCTTGTGCTCTGGGGTGGAGCCATTTTACTCTCAGCTCCAGTCAAAGTTACCCATCCTCCCAAGGCCAGGAATTGGGTCAAGGAGAGCAAACTGGCCCAATGTAGGCCAAGGAGAGTCAAACCCAAGTCTTATTGAGAAGAATGGGAAGAGAAAAAGTCCTTTTTCCACCTGAATATGAAACTAGGAAGATGTATCCTTGGATCTGCCGGGGCCACCACAGAGAAACAATCTGCCTGACAGAGAACCTACAGAGGAAAGCTGGGCTAAGAGACAGATGACATCATTTTAGCCCCTGGATCTAGCCATGCCTGAAATCCATCCCTGGACTTTCCAGTTACCTGAATCCACAATTGCCTTTTATTGCCTAACCCAGTTTGAGTTAAGACTCTGTCACTTTCAACTAAATATCAACTTAATATTATAATTGGCTTCATGCTTGCCTGTTTTCCCCCTATGAGTTTGGAAGCTCTTATAAGGGGATATTTAGCTATTACTAAGAACTAGTACATACTAAGCACTCAATAAATATTTTTTGAATGAATGAGGACAATAACAGGAAGAGGAGAAAGAGGGAAACAGTATCCAGACCATATTTTAAAAGTAGGATGTCTCCCCAGGCCTGGGTGCCCACGCATATCAGGAAAAAATCCCCACAGCTCACATCAGCCCTGACTCCCCTGGAGCTTGAGACCAGCCCCAGCAGGACCTGCTTCACTGGCCTGGGCTACTTTGGTTTTGGCTTTTAAATAACAAGAAAAAGCAAAGGTCTGAAATATCTATGTGGGTTCAGAATTTAAGTCCTGGTTCTCAAGGGCTTCACTGTCCACGGCACTCTCCACTCTGCCTCTGGCTCCTCACAAAAACCCAGGGGGAGAAGCACTTTAACCTGGGTGAGTCCCATCAGTCTTATTGCTGAGCCAGAAAAGGGGGCCCATGTTCACTTACGGGAGTGCAGCCAAGAGGAAGGGCTGCATAAAGGACCTGGAAACCTCCCAGTATTTCCACGCCAAACAATTAACCTGAAAGATTAAAAAAGTTCTAGGCATTTAGTGAAATAAGAGCAAACAAGATTGTGCTTTCCAGTGCCAACCACCAATCTGAGCACCTTATATATGTTTTCTTACTTAATAGAGCACCCTATGGCCCAGTTTATGTGTCAGGGAACTGAAGCAGTAGCAAGATGAACACAAAAATTTAAGTCTAAGAATGTTCACAACAGTTTTGTTTATAATTGCAATAAAGTAAGATATCACCTTAATGTCCCTCAGTAGGAGATTGGTTAAGTAAATTACGGTATGTCCATTCAACAGAATACTACACAGCTACTTTGTTTCCACGGGGAAGATTTATATATATATTAATATGGAACAATGTCCATGCCCTATTTTATATATATACACGTGCTGTATGTAAAGTTAAACAGAACAATCTATACAGTATGATCTCATTTGTGCTTTTTAAGTTACATGTAAATAGGTTTATATATACCAAAAAGCTCTCAAAGTCAAGAGCCAACTTCTCCCTGTAGTTACCCCAGAACAGGTACTCTCAGCCTCAACATTACTGCCACTGGGCAGGGGCAGGCAGGGAACCACGTGCTGTGGGGCTGCCATCTGCATTCTGGGGTGTTCAGCAGCCCTGGCCTCTACACACCACATGCCAGGAGCATCTCCCTCGAGTGTAACAACCAAATGCGTCTCCAGATATGTCCAAGTGGCCCCCTGTGAGAACCACTGTTCTAGGGGAAATTTTACTTTCTTTCTATTTTATATAATAATTATGTGTTTTCAGCAAAAAAAAAAATGTAAACAGAAAAGGCAACTTTTCTAATGAACTGCTTCTAAGAACTGAAGAGAGTCCAGGTAAGGAGATTTGTTGGGGTGACTGTTCTGCTCAAACACACAGGTCATCCTCAAAGCGGTTCTGACCTCCCTCATCCTTCCATATAGCTCAATGGAGCTCACCAGGGATTGGTCAGAAATGCAAACTATAGGGTATCACCCAGACCTACTTGAAGAAAAAGTCTGCAATCTGTATTTTTAAGTTTTATTGAGGTGTAATTGTATGTAAAGAACTACACTGTATTTAATGTGTAAAATTTGATGAGTTTGGACATATGCAAATGCCCATGAAACCATGACCTCAGTCAAGGTCACAGGCAGGTCCCACGCCTCCCACCGTGTCCCTGTGCCCTTTCATTTTGTTTCTGTGAGAAGAGCATGTAACATGAGATCTACTCTCTTAAACTCTGAAGTGCAGGGAAGCGCAGAGCTCACTGCAGGCACCGCGCCGCTCAGCAGACGGCCCTCAGCAAACGAACTGCTCAAGCCTTGCTGCCCCGCGCTCCCAAAGTGTGAAAGAATGTCCACAACCATCCGGAAAAGGAAGTTCCCAGTGAAAAGGGAAACACTCTTAGAGCAGTGCTCTGGTCTGGCTGCCGCTTGCCAGGATGAGCATGCTGGGTGGCAGAACGGCCTTCGGTCTGGGGGACATAATTATGAGCGTGCACAACAGTAATACCTTCCAAGTGTTTTTTAAGGCTCAAATCAGAGTATGGGTAACCAATCTGTGGAAATTCTGGCTGTGAAGACAGGGGTATTGGGGGCATTTAAGGAAGGAACTAGACAGAGCCTGGCTCAGTATTTGGCCCCACATCAGCCCTGGCGTCAGAACAATCCCGACATCCATATCTTAAGATGCCAGTCAATGCAGGGTCGGCTCCCGGGGTGGAAAGAGAAACAGAAGCGGGAGAGTACCTGATAGGGCGAAAGCAGAGAGAGGCTGCTCTCGAAGGACTGGAAGTGGGCCAGGAAGGAGTCGGCGCTCAGGGCATCAATGTGGGAGCACGTCACGCCTTTGACCAGCTGCCCTGCGCTAGAAAACAAGACAGGCGCCCGAGAAGAACGGGGAGGGTAAGGCAGGGAAGCAGGAGAAAGCGAAGGCATCGCCCGTCTGACACAGGCTCCAGAGGGACCGTTCAAGTCTCCCTGCTGGGAAATCAGGCTCCCACACGCTCACGGCCCCAGGCGAGCTGTGCTCTCCTACCTCAGCAGCTCGGCGGGCCTCCTGCTGCTCTTGGACAGGAGCTCATAGAGGAACAGGGCCTGGGGGGAGAGAACATGGCACCCTCGGTGGAGCACTCGCTCACCTTGGTGAGCGCGCAGTGTGCCCGGCACCGTGAAGCCCTGTGGGGAAGGCACAACACGATCCCGCTTTACAAATGGGAAAACAGAGGCTCACCAGGCCGTTGCCTGCCCAGGACCATACAGTTGCTAAGCGGCAGAGCTGGGACTTGAGCTGGCAGCAGAGCACTTGCAGAGCCCACGCTCCGGCGGCCAGGCCACTCCCTGTGCCCAGGAGGCGAATGGGGAGCCCGCTGCTGGGGAGCTCAGTTTACTTCCTAGGCTTTGGGAAGCCACTCCCCAGGCGAGGACCCTCGGAAGCCCCGATGTCCTTGCCCACCTGGTAGTTCCTGGACATGTGGCATCCCAGAAGCAAAAGCAGGTGAGATGGATGAACAGGCAGGATGGGCCAGTGAAGCCGACTACATGACTGGAAGGTGGGAACTTTCAGGCCCAACCCCTGATCTCCAGGGAGGGGAGGGGCCTGGAAGTTAAATCAATCACCCTTGGCCAACGAGTTCATCAATCGTGCCTGTGTGATGAAGCCCCATAGAAACCCAAAGGACAGGGTTCTGAGAGCTCCCGGGCTGGTGCACACATGGGGATGTGGGGAGGGTGGCACCCGGAGAGGACACGAGCGCTCCGAGCCCCTTCCCCACACCTTGCCCTGAGCATCTCTCCCATTGGCTGCTCCTGAGTTACACTCTTTCCTAATAATCCAGTGATCTGGTGAGTAAAATGTTTCTCGTTCTGTGAGCCGCTCCAGCAAACTCACCAAACTCAAGGAGGGTGTCATCGGAGCCTCCCGTCTATCAGTCAGAAGCACAAGTGACAACCTGGGCTAGCGACTGGGACTGAGCCCCTTAACCTGTGGGATCTGACGCTCCCTCCAGGCAGGTGGTGGCAGAATTGAGTTGAATTGTAGGACCTCCGGGCTAGTGTCAGTGACATCCTTGTTGGTGTGGGGCCCCTCGCGCACACCTCGGAGCTGGCGCGGGGACCCTCAGAGGTCATACCTGACTCCTCCGGAGCTCCTTCTCCTTTAGGGCAGTAGAGTTGAGTCCAGGTTCCCTCCTTAAATCGAAGAGAGACACTTCCTTAAAGAGAGCCCCTTGTATTTCCACAACACCCGCGGCGGTACCTCCTGCTTCAGTCATCTGCCAAAGCGAGAAGACGCTCACCAACAGCCAGCGGCAGGAAGACGCTCACCGACGGCCACAGGGCGAGCAGACGCCCGCCAGCAGCAGCAGGGCAGGTGCCCAGCTCTGGGAAAGGGCCGGGCACTGTGTCAAGTGCTTCCCAGGCACAAAATCCATCAGATCTGCTCAGCAAACCTATTCATTGCCCCCATTCTATAGCTAAGAACACCGAGGTGTAACGAGTAACTGGTGATAAGTGAGATTTAAGCCCAAGTCTGTCTTATTTCAAAGCTTGTGCTCTTTAGTTTCGCCATATGTGCTACTGCTGCCTGCAAGGTGCTGACGTTTCGGGCCAAACCTCTTGTATTTGGTTTCTTAAAAGATTTTGCCATTGGAAAAGGCAAGTCTGAGAGAAGAGAAGAGAATGCCCCAGAGACCCACTGCCGAGCGAGGGAGAGGAGCTTGTGAGGCTGAACCACGGAAGGGGCTTCGGAAGCACTCCAGGAGCTTCAGAACTCATTTTTAGATTGGAAAACGAACTTTTAAAATGTTACTATATTAAGAAACCTAATTTAAGAAAAGTCTTCCAGGTTTGAATTGCTAGGGAGAGGGTGTCTGGGAAGAAATATAACCTGACCCAGGGCTCTCTCTGGGAGAGAGGGAAGGCAGGTGTCAGAGGAAGGTGCTCTCCAGGCTCAGAACCACCCTCACAAAGACTGAGCCAACCCCCGCCCCCAGGCTGTGTCCCCACCGCTTGCTCCCCAAACCCCAGAGAGCCTGTGGCCGAGGACTGGACCCCCCTCACCTTGCTGAGGATGCCTTGCTGCTGGGTGGGCGACAGCTCGGACAGGTGCAGGGAGCCGGGGCTTCTCAGGAGCTGTGCCAGGTCCCCAGGGTCCATGCTGTGGAAGGCCTGGGTGCCCACCCCGGCCAGCAGCACGCCCATCTGGCTGACACTGTGCCAGGACAGCACCTGGGCAAGGACCAGCCATGAGAATCGAGGCTCTGCTCTTTCACCTCACGGCATTTGTCAGGACCCCCTGCGGGCCGGGTATCAGGGCGGCCGCCAGGTGTACCAGGGTGTGCTGCCCTCCCAGGCCCCCCTTCCTCTAACAGGAGAGACTGTTAAATATCAAAACGACAGGAGCGTAATGGCTCCTGGGGGGAGGGGAGCGTGCTTTGCTGCCTGAGACCACAGCACAAATACGGGAAAGCAGTGGCCCATGCACCACATTTTTTGTGTGTTTTCAATTTGAACTAGTTGACAACATTTAAAATATGGGGAATTCCCATAAAAATCCAGATTTGAGTCTCTGGCTTTTTTAAAAATCTGAACATCAGGCAATATGGGCCCACATTGCAACAATGAGCAAGACCTGAGCAGCAGGTGCCCCTCAGGTAGGCCCGGGGCCCTGTCTACCCAGCCCTGGCCCCTCTCACAATGCCTGAGGCCACCCATGGTTCTCTTACGTCACCTGGCAAGCACCTGACATAGCAAAGCCCCTGATTCATTTATCTCCGTGCAGAAACTCTGAGCTGAAATAAAGATATGTTTTGGGATACGAGTCTGATATTTTATGACAACTCTGACTGTAGCTGGCACCCGATCAGAAACGATGGGTGTCTCCTCCTACTCCTTCAGAGTGAAGATGCTGGGTGGCTTTCCATACAAACAGGAACAGTCCTTGGTTCTATAGAAAGACGGCTGAGTGGCTTCGTTTAGTTATGCTCTATAGAATGATAGCCTCGCTGTCCCCAAAGAAGGCAAGACCTTTCCAACTCTTAGCTTCTTGGTAAAAGTCACCTTGTAGGAAGAGCTGGCTACTAGGAAAGAGATGAGCCACTTGGTCCAGGGCTGGGAGAAACGAGACAGTCTCCCTCAGCTCCTAACATCAATTCACAGAGAAACGGGCAGGTCAACCCAGGTGGCCCCAGTCAAAGCAGGGAAGGGCTGCCAAGCCTTCAAACTAAAGTCACCGCAAGGCTAGGAGGGACCAGATGAGTGGGCTGGCCTTGGCCTGAGTCGGAAGGTGAGGACGGGCTGGGCAGTGGCCATGGAGCCAAGATGAGGTGGTCAGCGTGGGAGCTGAGCAAGCAGGCTCTGAAGTCAGATGCCCTGGGTTCAGTCCCAACTGTGTCCCTTTTGTGTGGCCTCGCCAATTCCCTCATATGCCCCATGTCTCACGTGAGTGACCTGGGGAATGAAAGTTGTAACACTATTGATCTCATAGGGTTGGTCGGAGGTTTAAATAATTAACTCACTTAGAACAGAGCCTGGCACACGGTCAGCACTTAATAAATGTTTGTTGTCATATTGGAATTGGTCCCAACCCAATCCTAAGGAGCCACTTTGCTTCCTGGGAAGTGGCTATGAGTGTGACCTAAAAGAGCAGGACCCAAAGCATTCAGGGCTCAGGGTTCTGGAGCCCTTTCCACCGGGCCCAGCACAGAGAGACTAATACCCCAAGAAAAAGGCCCATTTCCCACCGGGAGCAGCAGGAGCATAAACCAGACACATGCTCCCTGGTATCGCCAGGGCCACATGCAGGAGACAGAGCTGGGACTGAACCAAGGGCGTCTGGCTTCAGAGCCCGCTTGCGTAACTCCCTCTGAACAGGACCTTCTGTGGGGACAGTTCCCTCTGGGCAGCCTGAGGCTGGAATAAAATAGCATTATCTCTGATCCCAGGCTGAGGGATGTGTTAGCCGCCTCGACCACTAGCAAGAAAGTCCCGGGGCGAATCCCGCGCTTTGCCCAAAACTCAACGGGCGCTCACGCTCACTGAGCTCACCCTCCAGGTCACGCGCTCTTCCAGCCTCTTCCTGTGTCCTGACTACATAATCTGAGCAGCCACCTGTGGAACAGACGGCAGGGCACCCATCCTATCTTACAAATGGGGAAACTGCGGCAAAGAGAAGTCAAGCCAATTGTCCGAGGCAGCAAAGGTGCAGCTAGTAAGTGGGAGATCAAGGATGTGGACCCAGGAGGCCTCCTCGGCACTGTTCCCTGCGTGCGCGGGGCTGGCCCGGGGCCGGGCCCTGAAAAGGGGTCCAGAACTCGCACTCACCTTCTCATGCGCCAAGTATTTGGCGGACAAGATGATGGCCTGGCTCTTGGCCCAGCCTGACACCTGGTTGAGGGTGGAGATGGCGCCGTGCACAGCCTCGGGGGAGAGGGACTCCAGCTGCCTGTGGGTCAAGCCCACGACCGCGTCCGACAAAGAGCCCAGGGTCTCGTTCAGGGTCTGGTTCTCCGTGGCAATGTCCAGGAGGTCAGCTTTGAGCTAGCAGAGGAGCAGGCCAGGATGGGATGGACAGCCAGCAGGACAGGGGCTCCCTCTGACTCCACCCCCCACCCCACCGGCCTCACCCACGGGAGAGGGACCCTGCCGTGCCCAGAGAATGAGTCACCCCAGGGAGAGCCCCGTCTCCTCTGGCCTTGACCTTAATATGCCGCAGTTGACTTTGTGCTTTATTTATTTCTTTTAAATCCTCACCTGAGGATATTTTTTCCATTGCTTTTCAGAGAGAGTGGAAGGGAGAGAAGAGAGTAGAGAGAAAAACATGGATGTGAGAGAGACACATCGATTGGTTGCCTCCTGCACCCACCTGACCGGGGCCAGGGGAGCTTGCAACCCAGGTACGTGCCCTTGGCTGGAATCAAACCCAGGACCCTTCACTCTGCTGGCCGACGCTCCAGCTACTGAGCCAAACCGGCTAGGGCTGTGCTTTACTTAAATATTAATTTGTTCCTAAGGCAGAGGAAATTTTGTCAGCTTCACCCATAACGCCACCACTCTCTAGCATCTGCTTTCCTTTTGTGACCTTGAACTCTACAACTGTATATATGGCTGTTTTCCTTCCATGAAATATCCAGGGGTTTTTATGATAATATACAATCTATATAAAAGTAATTCTCAACAGTAACAAAAAGTAAAAGTCTCCTGAGAATCCTGCCTCATACAAATAACCACGATTGGTAACGGCATGTATAGGCTCCTAGAACCTCTCATGCCTTTATAAATATGTACTTTATCAATAAACTATGGTGCATGGTCTTTACGTAATCATAATATGAACAAAAGTGCACTTTTCTATATTTTTCACTTAAAGTGATATCTTACAAATTTTCACGCTCTGTGATCACCTTAACAATCATTAGCCCGGCCGGGCGTGGCTCAGCAGTTGAGCATCGACCTAGGATCCAGGCGATCAGGGTTCGATTCCAGGTCAGGGCACATGCCCGGGTTGTGGGCTCGATCCCCAGTTGGGGGCTTGCGGGAGGCAGCCTATCAATGACTCTGTCATCATTGATGTTTCTATCTCTCTCTCTCCCTCTCCTTTCCTCTCTCTGAAATCAATAAAAATATATTTTTTAAAAACCCCAACAATTATTTTATTATATGTCTGTCCAGCTACAGTCAATTGTTTCACCAACTGCTTCCATGTTACCTCTTGTAACATAAACTCTGTGCAAAAGAAAAAAAGCAAGCAGGGCTCCTGTATGAACACCTGAATTTGTATGAACAACGTATGTGTTCGCTTTACATGTGTGTACCCAGTGTTCCAGGCAGTCCTGAAACGGACACTGGGGGGCAGCAGAGGGAAGTGAGAGAATAGCCGTCCCAGCGCCCGGTTCTCCCAGTTCAGCTGGTCTCCTTCCCTAGCTCTGGGCTCTCGGCTCCCACGCCTGTGCCGTTAGGCGGTGGACAGGTCAGAGCTTCTCCACGCGTGGTCCTTGGCCAGCAGCAGCCGCAGAACCTGAAGCTTGTTAGAAACGCAGAGTCACCCTAGCCAGTTTTGCTCAGTGGTTAGAGCAGTGGCCCACGACGGAAGGGCCCCGGGTTGATTCCAGCCAAGAGCACTTACCTCAGTTGCAGGATCATCCCTGATCCCTGACCCCGGTTGGGGTGCATGTGGGAGGCAACCAATCGATGTGTCTCTCTCACATCAATGTTTCTCTCTCTCTCTCTCTCTGTCCCTTATACTCTCTCTGAAAAGCAATGGAAAAAATATCCTCAGGTGAGGATTAGAAAGAAAAGAAGGAAGAAACGCAGAATCTCGGGCCCCACTCGGACCTGTGGACTCAGATCCCCAGCTGGCCTCCTGCATCTTAAGTCTGAGGTGGCCTCTCTGACAGAATGTTTATCTAACCAAGCTTTCCTACACTGTCTTGTGTGCTCCCTCCCGTTTTAAGCTCACATGTTTGAGATACCCTCTACTCTGGCTGGACCCGATTAACCTTACGTGTTTCTCTCAAAGCTCGGGCAAGACTCCCCATTTCTCTGGCTAGAAAAACTGAGGCCAAGGCCCAGGGCTGTGCATCCCGTCTGCACCTTCTGCACACCAGCCTGGAATCCCCTGAGCCGGCTGCACTTGATCATCTGGTGAAGGAGGACTTGGGCCATGGCGGCGTCCAGCAGCTCCAGGTCTCCGTAGAAACAGATGAGCAGTCCCAGCCTGTGTGGGAGGACAAGGGGCGCTTGCACAGGGCACAGTGACGGGCAAGCGACTTGCTCAGGACAAGTGGTGGAGCTGGGACTTAAAGCTAGAGCCATCCGACTATGGCATGTCTCCTCCTGGGCGGTAAGGGGCATGAGAGAAGCATGGTGCCGAGTTAGCCACAGAAAACGCCCCATTTTCAACCTGGATATAAGGCGCTGTCCACAGAGGGATTCTCTGGGGCGCAGATTCATTTCCAGGGTGCTTTACAACCTACCCTCCCAGATGATAATGAACTTCGAAAGGAAAGAAAAAGACAGGAGACAGAAGAGAGTAGGGGCAGAAGTGGGATTTGAACCCTGGTCAGCTGGGAGCACTATACGCAGTGGTTAAGAGCATAGCTTCAGGCCACTGGCGTGTGAAGCCCGGCTCCACGGGGTCTCCAGCAAGTTGCTCAAGTTCTCTGCAAGGCGTGCAGGGCGGCGGCCCCGTGAGCCTTTGCTAAAGGGGAGGTTTGCTTTGCTCATCAGATCCCGTCGTAATAAATGTGATGAGTGTGGGACGAGCGAGAAGCAGCAGGGTTATGACTCGCATGCCTCCTGGCGGATTCTGAGCACGCTCGCTAACGATGCTCCCGGCATTAGTGTGATAGCTCCTCGGCCTGGCACGGCTGGGCCGCCCGCTCAAGGACGCTGACATGCTCAGACGTGTCCACAGGGCAGCAACCAGGTCAGGGAAGGGTCTGAAATTGTGTCTAATGAGAAAGATGACTTTGGGGGAGCGAAGACTGAGTATGAATAAGCACGTTAAGAATAACTGATGTTTCTTGAGCATTAACTGTGTGTCTGGTGTGTGTGATCCTTGCAAGGACCTTAGTGAGGTAGGCAGGCTGTTGTCTCCCATTTCATAGATGGGGAAAGGGAGGCAGAAAAGAGCAGTAACACTGCCAAAATCACACAACTTAGGAGTTGCAGAGCCAGGATCAAACCCAGGAACTCTGGCTCCAGGTCCCACTAAGCTATTCTTTGTGTAACTATAGAAATACGGGACCCATGCTAATGGGTGAAAATTCCTAGGGATGGAGGAACGCGGGATAACAGTTTTATATAAGAACATTCTCTACAAGTGAGTCTGAAAAACTTTAAGGTAAGCCCGGCCGAGAATAGCTCAGTGGTTGAGCATCAGCCTAGGATCCAGGAGATCGGGATTCGATTCCCGGTCAGGGCACAGGCCCGGGTTATGGGCTCGATCCCCAGTCAGGAGCGTGCAGGAGGCAGCCGATCAATGACTCTCTCATCACTGATGTTTCTCTCTCTCTCTCCCTCTCCCTTCCTCTCTCTGAAATCAATAAAGATATTTATTGGCCGGGCGTGGCTCAGTGGTTAAGCATCAACCTAGGATCCAGGCGATCAGGGTTCGATTCCCGGTCAGGGCACATGCCCGGGTTGCGGGCTCAGTCAATGACTCTCTCATCATTGATGTTTCTAAGCTCTCTCTCTCCCTCTCCTTTCCTCTCTCTGAAATCAATAAAGATATATTTTAAATAAATAAATAAAGATCTTTTTTAAAAAAACAAAAAACAAACTTTAAGGTAATACCTTAAGCATTGTGACAATAAGGCCCTGGGAGTTCCCTCCCCACTGCACACCCATCCCCCGATATTCAACCCTCTGGGGTCACACCTCCTGCCCCTCCCCCTGCTGGAAAAGGTTCCTGGGGGTTCCCATTACAATCACTAAATTCTAGAGCTGATCTCACCTAGGGGTGTAGATAACCCACCCAAGAGTCCAGATTAAAAGGGGCTCACAAATATGGGAACCCAAGAACTATTTCCAATACTCGGCGCAACGTATAATTCCCAAATATATAATGGTAATTATACATTTGCCTTGGAATGGACAGGGTGCTGAATATTTAAACCTCAGCACTTGATAAAGTTGCATGAAATGCCTGGCACACAGGAGATGCTCAGAAAGCACCTGTTCCCTCCCCTCTCAGGACCTCCCTAGGGAGATCTCTTTGGGGAACACTCCCTTCAAACGCACAGAGACTATTCACGGACCAGCCATTCCCCTCCCCTCCCCGGATCCCTTGCCGCTCAGAGGGACCTGCCGCTCGGGTGGTATGTTGGGCCTTGCCTGTGGATGGTGGAGGTGTTCCGCATGTCAAAGGCCGAGGAGCCGATCCTCTCCAGGAACGCCTGGGCCAGCCTGGGCGTGATGTCGTAGACTGTGTCCAACTGCTTGGTGGCGTTGTCATAGCTGATAAACAGCCCAATCTGGTGGACAGGGACAGGAAGATCAGTGAGGAGGGCAGAGTGGCCCATGTGCCCACCCTGGGGTCTGTGCTGTGCTTCGTCACCGACGCTCAGACGTGCCCAGTTCTTGTAGCCACAGATTTCTCTATGGCCCATCGCTGCTGCTGTGGCTTCCTCCTCAGCCCAGCCGGTAGCATTGGTTTTTTAACATCCATGAAGCTGAACTTTTTTTAAGCTAATGTTTGCACAGTTACTTCTTGATTTGTTACACTGAGGTCAGAGAATGCAGTCCACAAATTTTCTGCTCTGGAGAATCAGAGTATTTTTTAACAAATGAGTGAGTTTATAAACGGCCCTCGGGCAATTAAAAAAAGTGTGTTCTTTGTAAGATTAAAAAGTCAACTAGAAGAGAAAGGAATTTAGTATATTAATAACTTTCTATTCTTGTGCACTTTCTGCCTGTGTCCGAGGGTGTCACATTGGCGTCCCCTGTATTTCCATGCACTGGTTTTCTGTGCTGAAAAGACTCACAAAGCTGCCTCTCCCTCGTGGGCTGCCCTTTGTCATATAAAATGCCCCTCGGTGCCGGTGCTCCGCTCTCCCCTCCCTGTCCCACACTGTCCGGATGAAGAAGAAAAGCTGCCTCTTGATCTTACAAATGCCCCCTCGTGCGCGGCTCCTCGGAATCTAACCTCTGTCTGCTCCCTGGACTCAGCAGTGGGAGGGCACAGTGGGGTTCAATCCGGGTCGTAACTGAGGGTTACAGAGTCAAAAGACATTCGACATGATCCCAGCCTCCCGGGTAAAAAGAGGAACCTAGTGTTGCCTCTGGTTTCGTAATAAACAGGCCTTGTTGGGTCAGTTGGCCCTTGAACAAGCCTGTCACTTGCAAAGACTTCTCTCACCGGCCAGGGGACAGCCGGGCACACAGGGTAAAAACTCTCTGTAAAAGCCTCCAGTGCTGGCGCCACTCTTTGGAGGCTGCAGTCCAGAGTCAGGGTGCCCCAGGGACTTCACTGTCACTGGGTCAACATCAGGAGGAGAGAAACACTGACCGTGAGTTAAGTAACCTTGGAACAGAGTGAAACGCAGTCATTACCCCTGCTGAAGTAGCTATTGATACAAGCAGCCATAAATAGGCCTAGCTATTCATCCACGCGGCCTTGGATTTGGGTTCATGCTCCCACGGGCTGGAAACTCTATAGCTATTGTCCTTGGCCTTTCTTGAGGACAAAACCACTCTGGAGTGAGTTCTGGTGCACAGCCACACTCTCCTTCCACCACGCGTGTCCGCATCCTCAGTGGTCCACAATTCTTTTTCTTGTCTTAGCATTTCTACACCAGACACAGTCGGATGCTGACCACCTGAGGCCTTATTCCAAGAGTTTTCTTTGAAGACCCAGATATATTGGGCTGAGTAGGTGTCCAATTTCCAGGGCACCTCGCTGGCTGGTGGAATATGAGGCTTGGGATATACCTCATCCCAGGGGGTCGTACGTGTACTTTCCCAACTTACTTCCTGAGAACTAATTTTCATAATTTCTTCAAGTGACAGGTGAACCATATATCTGCCCAAAATCCATAAGTTTTCTGCGCTGACCCATGAAACAGAGTCATCTGAAAGAAAATAAATAAATGGATAAAGAAGTGAATAAGTAAATAAAAAGCCTCTGCACTGGGTGCATTCATTAATTCATCCATTCATTCGGTGACCGTTCACGGGCAGCCTCCCACCCGTGAGCCGCCAGGCCGCACGCCAGAGTCACAGATGCCTGCTACCGGGGCTCAGTAGTGTGGTGCCTGGCCCAGCAGCACCTGGGAACTTGTTAGAAATTCGGAGTGCTTGTTAAGACTGGAGACCACAAAAATACAGATTTATTTTTAGCGCAGTGACTAAATAATCTGGCAACTTCAATATATTTGACTCTCTTTTATTACTACCAGTAACAACCAGTATCACCCTAGCTGACTATCACCATGTTACTACACTTGAGCCAAACTAAACCACTTGTACACACCCCAAACATTCACCAAACCTCCGCTCTCTTGGGCCCTTCTCAGGAGCCTGGATGCCTTTCACCTGACCCTCAGCCTCCAAGTCCTCCCTTCAAGATCGAGCTCAAACATTTCCTCTTCCTTAAAGCCTAGCTTGTCTCTCAGCCAGCAGTGATTTCTCTCTCCTCTGAACTCCCAGAGGATTCTCTCTGTCGCTGTTGGGCCATTTTAAATTCCCATTGACCCACCCAGAACAAAACACTCACACAGGCTGGAAAAAAAACAAAACCAAAAAACTTCTGGAGGATTTTGAAGGAGAGATCAACAGCAATACAGTCATAGTAGGGGACTTTAGCAACCCACTGACTTCACTGGATAGATCTTCCAGATAAAAACTTAACAAGGAAACAGTGACTCTAAATAACACACTAGATGAGATGGATTTGACATTTACACCAATTCACCCCAAAGCTGCAGAATATGCATTCTCCTCAAGTGCACATGGGACATTCTCAAAGAGA